ATACCTTTTCAGCCTTCCCGTATGAGTCACATTTGTGCCAAATCAAGGGAAGGGTGAGGAGTGGCTTGAGGGTAGCAAAACAAGTAGCCTCTCGAGAAGTCGAAAGATGCGTGTTTGCAAGCTCTACAAATGCAGGTAAGTCACCTGCTGAGCTAACCCCGCCATGCGTTACAGTTGATTTAGCAAAGCAGTCATTTTGTGTTGGCAAGACTTACTATTCAACTGTTTCGCCTGACCGATTCGTAGTAGTAAATGGAGGACCTGGGATTATCTGTGGTGTGGGTGAGGGCAATGTATTCAAATTCAGACCTTGTTTGGATAAGCAACCATTTTTTAACAAGCCTTTCGAATCAACGAAGCTTGATATATACAAATCAGGCCAGTTCTCAGGCAACACTGAATGGGTTGCAATTAACGCAATTAAATATAAATGCATTGCAATACCCACAAATCACTTCAACGTTTTCATCCCAATGCCTCACACATCGGCTAGATAAGCTGTTGTCATTGTTAATTTGTGTTGTTCCATTGGCGTCCGTTGCAGTTAATGTGGTTCATAGGTAAGAGCCATGATCGACAAAGTGGGTTGGGTTTGCTAGCGTATCAGTTTGAGTTTAGACTCTCTATGCATTCCAGTAGGAGCCTTTTAAGGTATTTCATTCTTCAATATAAGAATAAAACTTGTGCACTGTGGTAGAGTGTAATTCCATTATGGGTAAATTTTGTTTTGATAAAGTCTCACAGTGTTATACAGTAATGTTTACTGATGACGTTTCGAGCACAATTTATTGCTCATAATCATATCAAGGTAATCACACGACTTCCTAAATTCATTTATATAGTTCCATTGTTTTTCTCTTGACTTTCACTTGATTTGATTGGTAGTAGTATTTTCCATATTTCAGGTATGAGTGACGAGTCATTCCTATTGCATGTGTTGGGTGTAGACTCGATGAACAAGGATTCAGTAATCAACCTCTCTCTCCACCTACCTAGATTACTTTTTAGAATTTTAACTCTCTCCCACCCTATTGTGTGGTTGTGTGTTAGCGCATGCATTGCAATTGCTGAGCTTTTTTCTAAATTACTTATCTTCTCGGGGTCAACCATTCTTACCTTAGCTAAATTTTTATGCTCTGACAATCTGACTACCCCTGACCTACTAGTTTGACCTATGTAGTTGACCTCACAGTCATTGCATGGTATTTTGTAAATAATATTATTTTGTCTAATCGGGTCAACTGGGTCCTTTAACCTACAGAGCTTGTCCCTGAGTGAGTTTGTAGGTTTAAATGCCACCCTAATTCCTATTTTATTCAGAATCCTACGTAGTGTCTCAGATGTCCCCTCTTTATATGGTATAACTGTGGATGACTTATATTCTTTCTTATTTATGTTATTATTACTAGTTTCACAATTATTTTTATTTTGTTTTTGGCCTTTAGTGATCTTCCTAATGAATTTTATAGGATAGTTATTCAACACCAACGCTTCTTCTATCTGTTTTAATTCATCATTTAGATCTTTTTTTGTGCTACTTAGTGCCACTGCTCGGTTTGTTAAACATTTAACTAAGCCTGCCTTAACAGTTAAAGGATGAGACGAATTAAAGTCTAGATATCTATTAGAATGCGTTGGTTTTCTATAAACACTAGTGTGTAGTTTGCCTTCTTCTATTCTTTTTATCTTACAATCTAACATAGCTAATTCTCCTTGTTCATTTTCTGATTCAAATGTGAATTTTATTCCCTCAACTTGTGAGTTTATATGTGTCAAGAAGCTAGAGATGTGTTCTGTTTTTAGCACTGTGAAAGTGTCATCCACATATCTCCACCATATTTTCGGAGTAGGGTTAAATGTATTGAGGGCACTATTTTCCCAGCTGTCCATAAATATGTCTGCTACGATAGGGGATATTGGTGATCCCATTGCTACACCTTCTGTTTGTCTATATATTTTGCCTTGGAACTTAAAGATAGTAGATGTGAGGCATAACTGAATTCCTAAAATAATTTCTTCAATGGACAGCTTTGTCCTATGACCGAGTTCCGGATCCGCAGTTAATTCTTTTTTAACTGCTTCTAAGGCCATATTAACTGGTATATTGGTATAAAGACTAGTTATATCAAAACTAACCATTGTTTCATCATTCGCTAGTTGAATGTCATTTATTTTATTTTTCATCTCATATGAATTAGTTAATCTAGAGTTTGAACGATTTCTAATGGGGCATAGTATTAGAGCTAAGTGTTTTGATAGTTCATACGTGGGGGTATTTCTAAAATCTACTATTGGTCTTATGGGGTAACCTGGCTTATGTATTTTTATAGTACCATATATTCTACTAGCATTATTAGTTTTAGGCATTAAATTAAACCATTTAGACTCACCCAGGGATGGCTTCATTCTGCGTATTAGTTCCGCTGTAGATTTCTTAACCTTATTCATTATTGTATCCACAGGCTTCTTAATTTCCTCATATGGACCCATTTGAATATGTTCAGTAACTTTTTTGATGTAGTCAGATTTATCCAATACTACGGTGGCGTTTCCTTTGTCAGCTTTTGCGATGACAATGTTTTTATCCTGTTTAAGACTAATTAAAGCTTCCCTTTCTGATTTTGTTAAGTTTGATTTTGTTTTCTTTTGATTTTTTAGTGTTAATGCACATTGTGCTCGAACCTCTTCTGCTGTAGTCTTATCTATTGAGTTTAGTGCTGCTTCTATGTTAGGAATGACGTCCTCTGGTTTTAATTTATTAACTGTTACGTTAAAATTTAGTCCTTTTTCAAGTACTTTTATCTCATTAGAGTTTAGTTCCCTTGATGAGAGGTTGATCATTCTTCATTCACTAATGTACCGTTCCTTTCAGAATAAATGGGCAAATACCGTATTGCACTGGTTGATGGGAAAAATGAGGCAGTGATATGCCGAAGCTCTTGGTTTTTTGGACCTAAGCTTGTTGTCTGCAGCCAAGACAATTGGGATAATGCCTATGAGGAGGAGTACCCCAAGATTGATTGGAAGATGGAGAATTGTGAGGTGATTTTTGAGACAGGTTAGTCGTATCGACACTTAACTATTTATCCAGATGACTTGCAAGAGGCGCTCGCAAAGCACAAGGCCCTTCAAAGAACATGTAGCACTGCCAATTGCAGTCAGTCGTCCAAGTCGACTGTAGTTTGCACGCAAAAGCGTCAAAAAACGTAAGCATCGTTTCATACTTGATTGAATAAATAGAGCACCGAAAAATGACGTTTTCGTAAGTAACGACTACCCATCTGACCTGATGGACAAGCAGTGCAATGTCTTCGAGGACCCCGATTACGCAGACCTCAATAGCAGTGCATGTGATTCAAAAAAGAATATAAGGTATGACAGATATTCAACCTTACATTACAATGAAGTAGTTTTGGATTACTGCCGAAGAGTTCTTCACACATGTTGGCTGCTACAAGTACACCTATTACGTAAGTAATATCGAATTTAATAGCCATTTGTTCTCAGGTCGCCCAAGGATAGTAATGTTAAGCGGCCTAGGACGGATTCTGATAATATAGTAGCAGGTGCGGTTCATTCTTGTTTTATGTTTATCCCATAATTATTTAACAGTTTGTCTTCAAAAACTATGTGAAACGCAGGCGCAATTAATCAAACGTGTTGACTTCGCGTTGGCAACTTTCAGTGGTTGCACAGCTGGCGATAGCGAAAGCGATGTCAGGCTCCCGGTGAAAACATTTGCTATGCTGGAAGTTTTTGAGCGAAAACTTAAAAACAGAAAGTATTTCGAGGAAATAGTAAGAAATTCCATCCAAGTTTGTTTAATTGATTCGTTTCAGATGTGCCAATTCTCATTCAAGGTGCATAATAACCCAACCAGCTCAGCGCGCCGGTCGCTGAGCACAGTCCTAAATAAAAACCTAGCAAGATTGATGAGTTATAAGGGGACTGCTGATAAGACTGGTATCCGTGACTTCACGTTTTTCCAGCTTATAATTGGTATGTTGGCTTTTTGAAATAATAAAATTGCATACTCAAAAAATTCAGATGTCATCACTCGTTAGCAATTACAACTCGGGTCCACCGAGGAGGAAACAATGGAAGCGATTGTAAAAGCCACTAAAACTTGGTGCCATGACCAGCGTGTTCGGAAGAAAAGGGATTTATCACCAGAAGAGGTAGTTTTTAATAAAAGTGTTACCAGTTTTTCTGCACTCAATGGGAATTGACGCGTATTTAAATGATTCTCTCTTTCCTTCATTACAGATGTCTGCTGAAGTCATTCAACCTGGGACCAGCAAATCGCCGTCTTCAGAATAATTTATGAAGTCATTTTTTATAAATTTTTTCAAAATATTACTGTTTTATAAATCCGATATTTTACTGTATAAAATATAAAATTACTCCACTCCATTGGCCTTCGTTTATATCAGTAGCATAACCCTTAAATGTAGTGAAAGAATCGTAAGGCAGTGGTCGCTAAGTTCGTAGCTTTGGTAAGTTCGATTGCATTAGTTACTATAAAGGATGACAGTGTTTAAGCACTTTCTTAGGCCATTAGTAGGACGCTAAGTAATTCTAATAATACGTGCGCTTGCCTAGGAAAAGTGAGGGCTTCTTTTCGTCACGAAAATAGCAGTAGTGGATGAACAGGTCGTTTAAAAAGTGGGCAATTTGTTCGTTGAAAAGGTGGGAAAACGGGGATAAAGTGAGAAATGTGGCCAAAGTGGGTAAAATCGGTTGCATTTACACCATCTTTCGCCGATCAAAATTACCCTTTTATCCCGCGTTTTGCCCACTTTTCCCATGTGAATTAACCGACTGGGGACGATTTATTTCCATCCCATTGAGTTTTATCCAAGGCATGCGAATCAGCTATAGCTGACTATCCCAGTGCGTTTACTAGAGTGGTTGACATATTATTGCTTCACTACACCTTTTTACCAACTTTAGCGTGTTTTACTAACTTCATCATAGTTTACCAATAAAAATCAACTCACAGTGTTAGATCCGCGACAGTTAGCAGTGTGTTGAATTAACGCCTTATCCAATCATTTACCGACACTAGTGCGAACTAACAAACTCCAATGACCTTCGGATTTTCAGAATTGATGTTATTTCCGTCTGTATTATGCCTAAAACCGGTTGATTTATTAGGGAATTTTACTAGTTTCCAATGCTATGTGGAGAATAAGTCTCAAGGTACAGATGATCCAATATCCAATATCGTTTTTACGAGCTAGAGTAAACCAATTCGATTTCTTGGTCCTCACCTCTTGATTGTGAGGCATAGGTTCCTGATCTTCGGTAAACTTCTGCGTATCTCGTCCCAACACTCAACTGTCTCAGCTTTGGCTGACTCCAAACGAAGTAGTGCTGGGATTAATTATATGCGGATTGTAGTATGAGGTGTGTTAGGACTCTTACTACTGTGACTGGAGTTGATCCTTCCACCAGTTAGTCCTCTGGTATCGTCGTCGAAAAAAAAGAGATAATAATAATAGATATAATTAGTGAAGTTATTCAGACTAACAGACAGAAAAAGAAAAAAGAAAACGTACCAACAGTCAGCTGATTAAATTTGACGTTGATATAAATATATATCGGTCATAATAATAATAGTAAGTGTTGTTAGACTTGTTAGGAGAGAATGGAGAGATGTAAAACGAAAAAACTTTTTGTCTACCCTCTGAATAGTGTAAGAGATTTTAAGGGGATAGGTCATTTGGATCCAGTCCTTTTGTAACTTCATGATTGCCCAACCTTCACTTAAATGTGTCCACAGATGGTGCCATAGCTACACTTTCTGGTTAGGAATTCCATGGACGCCAAACCCGCAGTGAAAAGAAGTGAGAGCGCACCTGGATCCTTGCCCTCTGGTGAGCTATCCCTCTGGGATTTCCACGAAAATGCCTATACCTACTCAATGGCAGAACACCCCCAAAGCCATCTGTAGCTAAGTGTGGATAGGCTTAATTTCTTCAGCCATTCATCATATGGTTTATTTCGTAGATTTGCCACTACTTTTGTCGACTGTCCCTGAATTCTTTCCAAGAGGCTAACATCTCTTCTAAGCAGTGAGGGTGCAATGATATTATGCACTTCAAGGTGTGGTCTGACATATGTTTCGTACAACCTTAGAAAGAGCTCAAGGGTCTGTGTGTAATGTGTATGACAGCATGTGCCCTCGCTACATCCCTCATAGAATTTACACTTGTGCCCAATTTTCCGTTAGAACTAGACCTAGGCCGTGCTCCATTGTTGTGCAGGAGAAGCTTCCATTGCACAGGGTGTAACTTGCATTCTGCAATCTACAGGTGCGTAATTTCACTTTTTCAGGTTGAAAGTTATATCACTGGTCACCGCCCAGCCTTTCACAAGCTTTAGATCTTCCTGCAGCCTATCTGAGTCCTCCGGACACTTTATCGCCCTCCATATCTTTACGTCGTCAGCGTATAGAAGAATCGCGTAGCTTAGACGGCATGGCAGATCATTGATAAAAATCAAAAACATCAGTGGTCCTAGGATAGGACCCTGCGACACTCCTGATGACGAGCTGTGCCGAGATGATCGGACTCGGTTAACCTCAGCGCGAAATCGCCTGTCAGCTAGGTAGTCCATTAACCATGACAGAAATGGCTCACCTATACCTGCCTGGCTTATTTTATGTAGGAGTAGGTCATGGTGGACGGTGTCAAATGCCTTCTCAAAGTCTAGGAAGACCACATGGACTGGAATATTCATATCCCAGCATGATGTCAAGTCGTCCCAATCTGATGGCAGGTTTGTGACACAGGATCTGCGTTTCCCGAAACCGTGTTGGGCATCATGCAGTCTATCAGTCCTATCGAGATGTTCCCTTACCTGATCATCAATGACGCTTTTCAGTACTTTTGGTATTACTAGCAGTAGAGATACCAGTCTAGCAACAGTGATATTTTGCCTATCCCCACCCTTCAAGACCGGAGAAAGGATGACTCTATTCTATTACCTTCGCAACGTCCCCGAATCCATTGAGTGTTGGAACAAGTCACACAGGGGTCTACAGAGAGCTTCGGCGCACTGTTTCAGAACAGATGGCCTGATGTCGTCACAACCTGTGAACTATCCAGGTGTAGTCTCTGTAGCTTCCCGAGTACTGTTGCCCTGTTGGTTTGGGAAATAGCCACTAGGTCTTCCTCCAGCGAAATACTAGTTCCACTATTTTGACCCGTAACGGTAATATCCACATTGCTGTTTAGCTGTTTGGCGAAGGCTGAACTGAATGTTTCAGCCATCTCCAGACTAGTGAGGTATTGACCGTTTGGGCGTACCAGGGCGAATGCCCCCTCGTTTGTCGGTTTTCTTTCCGACATGAATCGGTACAAGATTTTGGGGTTTCCAAGGAGATATTTTAACAGGGTTAGCCTGGAATGACCTCCTGTCCTTCCTAACTCTTGCATTGCACCGGTTCCTGAGTTAGAGGTATGCGTCGTGGTCGGTCTGACTCTTAGATACACGCATCTCTTCAACCATGATGACTTGCTTTCTGGCTGTGTTGTGTCTAAAGAGAGGGCATCCGAGATTGCCATATGAATAATCCTTTTTACCAGTTGCCAGTGCTCATCCACAGAAAGCTCATCCCATGGTGAGTGCCAATCCTCGCCGGACGAAAGCCTCCGGATTTCAGAATAGTCCGCCTTGCTATAACACAGACATGGTCGCGTAACGTCCCACTGCAAGTGCTCACGTAGGACAAGATCGAAACCTATGACCGCATGGTCACTACCTCCTAGAGGAATCATGATCTGGACCTTTTCGACGAGAAGTCGGTCACTAGTTAGAATATAGTCTAGTTTTGATGACTTTCCACTAGGGCCCCACCTAGTGTAGTCTCCAACATTCTCAGTCAGTCCCGTGTTTCCAATAAATTGCAGTAGATTCCGGCCAAATTTTCCCTTAACCTACCAGAGCCAAGGTTCAGTGATGGGCCACTGAAATCTCCAACTATGTCGATTTGGTCACAGCCCAAATCCCGTATCTCTGTGATAGTGCTGAATAGAAGCTGTCTGTGCTCCGCCCCACAGGTGGATGATCGGTAGATGCTACGCAGTGAATGCTCGGTGTGTCCTACGGTGAACTGACACCATATGAAGTCTAGGGTTTCAATAAGTGATGGGTCCATTGCGCGTACACATTTAAGTCGCCTGTCAAAGTATACAGCGACTCCCCCTCCTTCCTTATTATCCCTGTCTCTCCTGACCAGAACCATATCACCTATACTGATTTCGTTGTCGGCGATAAGGAGGGCTTAGCCAGGTCCCAGTAAGGATGATTATTCTAATAATCAAATAGCAATCGCGGTGGCGGGTTCCGATTCCGCTAGGATAGTGATATCGACATGTAACTATGACTGGCCTCATGTATACTGGTGGTATTATGGCCTGTCGTTCTCCGAAATCATTCACAGCCCTTGAAATATAAATAAAAGTCGTTGAGTAGGGTCCTATCAAATGATCACGACACTGCTAGTCACTAGCAGGCCCTAGCTGCTTGAGAAGGTGAAATATACGTCTTTCCCGGCTTTGGAGCGTCATGTTAGACTTGATGGATGTTGTGAAAACCCGGCCTCTACCGTGGTGATAGTACGCTTCCTTGAATTTATTGATTATACTATCCCGAAAGGTGAGCTTTAGGCTCTCTGGTATCCTGAAAGTGGTTCTAGGCTCTACGGTCAAAATATATGTTAAGGCGTAGGTGTAACTGGAGGTTTCTGAGTTCACCATTTTCATCTCTCAGCCTCCTCACGTTGCTATGTAGGCAGCTGAAGGTGAGTCTCACAAACTCGATGTTTTGTGGGGTAGCTGACGTTACGTTGTCTACTGATAGGAGACTTAATATTGGGACCAGTTGTCCAATTTCAGTGGAACCGGCCCACTGTCGTTTTTTCCTTGTATTCGGGTAGGACATTTGGGTGACACGAACTGTTATTCTCAGTACCGCTCACTGACGCTTGAGGACGTATTAGGACTCAGTTTGATTCCTCGTTATGGTTTAAGGTCAGGTGTGTCCTCCTAATTTACCCTTGGTTTTGTACCACCGATGAATCACCAATGCCAGCTGTTCCTGGGAGTTGAATTTTGTCGAGATTACTCTAGAAGCACCTTTGTCTCTTTTTCTAGATAACGCTCCCGAGGTCTCATGACATCTTGAGCGTTTCTATTTTGGTTTGCTGTGGGTCACGCCATGACTTCCTATGGATTCAGGCATAGTATCATGACCACCTGGTTTCACCTGTGATGTACAGTCCTCGAATGTGGCACTGCAGGCGTAGTATCAGAACAGGCGATATGTACACAAGTCCTTAACACTGGTATGGGAGATGGGGTTGATGTCTCTGGGTTGTTGTCTCGTCTGGCTGAAGCCATAGTGGCTACAGAATATGGAGTCTTGGAGCTCTTTCTAAGGCCACTTTCAAGACTCGTTGGTCTACCACGTGATTGCTGTGAAGCCGATCATCCAGAAAGTACTAAGTAAAGTCGAAAACCTTTTCTTTTCCTTGTCTTGTACTTTTACAGTCTTATTCTTGTTCTTTTGGATAGATACTGTCTCTTTCTTATTCGTTTATAGCACAAGACATACTGATTGTTAATATGGTTGTCGAAAGTGGCCTTAGAGGAGCCACTAAAACACCGTACTCTGTAGTCACAAGGGCTTCAGCCGGAGAAGGAAAAACCCAGGGACTTCAACCCCTTCCCGCATGCCAATCCTAAAGACTCGTGTAGCTTTCGTCTGTCCTGATACTACGCATGCATTGCCACAGTCTAGTACTGAAACGACACAGGCAATACCAGGGGGACAGGATACTACACCTGCATCAACTGTAGGCCAGTGTGTAAAACACTGCAAACCTAGAAGGAAACTATCAAGACGCCATGAGACCTCGAAGGCGTCATCAAGGAAAGGAGATGAATGTCAGGCGTGCAGTATCATAGTTTCTAAAACTGACTCAGCGTTTGAATGCAATTTTCGCAAACG